CTACAGACTTTGCATAGGTATGTTTTACTGATGACCATGCGATATTCTATCGTTGAAAAGTAAAAAATATATTTTTAAACAATCTTTTTACACGATTTCTATTAACTCACTCTGTCTGACTGTTGTTGTATCCTCAAATCTCGTAACTCGATTGTACCCCACTACCAAATGCGGTATCGACTACAGACTTCGCATAGTTAAGTCTTACTGATGACCATACGATATTCTATCGTTTAAAAGGAAATAAATATATTTTTAAACAATCTTTATAACACGCTTTCTAGTAACTCACTCTGTTCTTGTATCCTCAAATCTTGTAACTCGATTGTAACCCACTACCCAATGCGGTATCGACTGAATAGTTACGTCTTACTGATGACCATACGATATTCTATCATTAAAAGAGGAAAAAATATATTTTTAAACAATCTTTTTAACACGATTTCTATTAGCTCACTCTGTCTGTCTGTTGTATCCTCAAATCTTGTAACTCGATTGTAACTCACTTCCCAATGCGGTATCGACTGAATAGTTACGTCTTACTGATGACAATACGATATTCTATCGTTAAACATTTTTTTAAATCAGTAAACAATCTTTTTTAAAGCGTCGTATGTTTCGGCTGGGCTCTAATTGTCCACGCTCAACTGACGTCGGCTGTAAAAATGTTCACGGTCCCCTTACGTTGTGGGGAGTTTCGGGGCCACTACCATTACTAGTACGGTACATTTCATTAAAAGCGTGTTTTGTTAAAAATATATTTTTAAATATTACTTATTTATTTATTAACCTTCACGGGCACCCAACGCCACACGCGTATATCCATATATATACACGTGACGTTTTTTTTAGTTTTTATTTTATATAATATATAGAAAACGGCTGTGTTTTTTCTTTTTTTTAAACATCTTCATTTGCTCATTTGAAGCTTTAGTGGCTGGTAGGAATCCACCACTCTTGGGTTCTGTCGATGTAAACGTCACGTAGGTGGAACATTTTTTTTAAATGAATCACGACGTTTCGGGCGCTCAAAACCAATCAGTCGCCGTAAGACGGCTTTTGCTAGCGTGGCGATCGAAACGTCGAGATCTCGATCATATATTTTGTTCTAACTCACGTGACTTTGACGCGCGATTGTGTACCACCGGATGTCAACCCGTTCATTATTATCAGCGGCAACCTTTCTGCAGACGAAAATCAGACCCTTAATTGTTGGTCAACCCCGTGGTGCCCCTTGTAAATCATGAACAACGCTCATCCTACAAAGTGCCCATCAACAAGGGAGAAATACAAACAGATAGAGACTCACCACTAGTACACTCACCACTAGTACACTCACCACTAGTACACTCACTACTACACTCATCACTAGTACACACACCACTAGTACACTCACCACTAGTACACACAACACTAGTACACTCACAACTAGTATACACACACCACTACACTCACCACTAGTACACTCACCACTAGTACACTCACCACTAGTATACACACTACTACACTCACCACTGGTACACTCACCAGTACACTCACCACTACACTCACCACTAGTACACTCACCACTAGTACACTCACCACTAGTATACACACTACTACACTCACCACTGGTACACTCACCAGTACACTCACCACCACACTCACCACTAGTACACACAATACTACACTCACCATTAGTACACTCACCACTAGTACACTCACCACTAGTACACACACTACTACACTCACCACTAGTACACTCACCACTAGTACACTCACCACTACACTCACCACCACACTCACCACTACTACACTCACTACTACACTCACCACTACACTCACCACTACACTTACCACTAGTACACTCACCACTACACTCACCACTAGTACACTCACCACGAGTACACTCACTACTAGTACACTCACCACTAGTACACTCACCACTAGTACACTCACCACTAGTACACACAATACTACACTCACCACTAGTACACTCACCACTAGTACACTCACCACTAGTACACACACTACTACACTCACTACTAGTACACTCACCACTAGTACACTCACCACTACACTCACCACTACACTCACCACTACTACACTCACTACTACACTCACCACTACACTCACCACTACACTTACCACCACTACACTCACCACTACACTCACCACTACACTCACCACCAGGGCTGTCAATCCCTTATCAGTGCCCTGCATTATTACAGACCAAGTAAAACCTTCTTGGTCACCCCGTGGTGCCCCTTGTAAATCATCAACAGCGTTCATCCTACAATGTCCCCATCAACACGGGAAGAATTAAAACACAAATAGACAACTTACTCTTTGGAAATTTCGGTTAAAGTCACGTAGAATGAAATAAAATAATAACGTATTCTATTATTATTTATTATTAGATTGTATTTATTTCTACGTGACTTTATTATTAAATGTTATTTATTTTTATACCTGACTTTATTATTTAAATGTATTTATTTCTACTTGACTTTGTTATTAAATTTCATTTATTTCTACTTGACTTTATTATTCAATGTTATTTATTTCTACGTTACTTTATTATTAGATTTTATTTATTTCTACGTGACTTTATTATTAGATTTGATTTATTTCTACTTGACTTTATTATTAAATATTATTTATTTCTACGTTACTTTATTAT